CTTCGTGTGCTCCCATCCAGATGCCAGAGGTGGAAGACAAAGCTGACGAGTGGGGCCCACCTAGCGTGAAAGGGAGCTAAAGGACCCGGCCGTCAGAGACGGATTGAGAGGAGCAGGTCAGGGGCAACAAGGACATTTCGCGTGCCTATGCTGACTGGGCGCCAATGTGTCAGGTAGACATAGCATGCCACATGCGCAAAAGTAGTAAAATGGATGTTAAAACTTCTCTCATTTGATAAATTTCTAATTTCCATACTACAGATGAGAAACGAACGAGTGACGTAATAACGGTAAATATGTAAATTTCCCATGAAATCCCCGAGAACTTTGAACTGAAGGTGACCTTCCCACCTCCTTGCCCCCCACCCTGAACTGGCTGAAGGCTACCGCTGCCCCTACTCATCGCTAAGACGCTGCCCCTGCCAACACCGACCCCATCGGCGTGGCCACAGTTGGCTTCAATTTGTTTCTTTCTTGAGCCTTTTACCTGTGTGCCATTAAAAAAGGTTATAATTACACATAAGCCATTAAAAAAGTTGACCGCATATAGGTGCCACTGCTCTAAACTTCTTTGCCTTACAAGCCATTCTGTCCAAATGTAGCGCTAACTGTGGCTAACGGATGGGAGAAAAGACAAGCATGCCCTCAGAAAGAAGAGGCTATCTGATGGTCTAGAAATATAAAATTCTCAGATTGTTCGTTCACCAACATGCAAAATATTATAGCTCCATTACATCAGCATTTCATACCATCCAAATGATTTCATACCACAAAAGCCAAGGTGTTCTCCAGGAGTACAGCACCAATGCATCATCAAAACAACATGGTGGAGTCACCTTTGTTCATTCCAGCAACAATTGCTTCTTACTTCTGGTATTTTCAGTTGGGCTGGAAGGGTTAGCTAGAGCCTTGCTGCTTGTTCCCCTAGCTGGAGTGGCAGATACATCTTTCCTTCATGTAAGCTTCTTCTTCGATCCAATCTTCCTCCTTGGTGTATGAACTATAGCAGTTGAAGCTTCCTGTGGCTCATGCTGAACTACAACATCTTCAAAATAAGGGGCAAGGTGCACAACTTGAATAGGAATTGGTTTGTTGGATCTAGTTCCAGATCTTGTGGTACATGAAACATGAAGTTTAGTGTAGGCTGTTGGTATTGCAAAAAAAATAGAAAGAAATAGAGAAGTGGCATACCTGCTAGAGAAAGAAGTAGCAGTAGAGACTGAAGTACTTGTTGCTGCTCCCTTAGATTTGGAGACAGATGATGAAGAAGATGATTTTCTCTTTCTTTTCTTGTGTACAGCATTCTCCACTGCCTCATTGGGAGGGAACACCATCCCTATGTCCACAACAATGCTTGTCTCTGTGTTAGCTTTAGCTGCTTTTTCTGCCCCTTCTTTGGCAGACCCCTAAAGGTAAAATTTTAGTTATGTTAGATTATTTAATGCAGTTCATATCATATATGAATAAATGTAACTGAGAGAAGTTCACCTATCAGCCTCTATTGTAGCTATGTCTGCTAGACTCCCATTCTTGCAGGTGTACTAGTGGTGCCCTAACTCATGGCATATTGAACACTCATGTCTCTTTGATTTCTTCCTGCTACCTCCTTCAACTGCCCCTTTGTATCTGCTCTTTCTTCTACCAGCTGTGGACTTAAGCAGGGGAGGATGCATGAAGAATCCATGTGTGGCATCAGGCTACATAGACTTGTTAGGAATGGATGGGATGGCACCTTCATATGTAGCTTTGAATTTGGCCACAGAATAGCATTCATCCACATGGTCTTCTAGATTTTCACCAGGTATAGATGTTATGTAGGCAATTGCATGCTTGCGTGGTATTCCTGACCCTTGCCAAGCCCTGTAGGAACATGTCATGTTTCTTAAGTCCACAACAAATCTGAATCTAGTCCCCCCCTTAGCACAAACTTCAGCAACTCCATGTTCTGTGATAACCTTAATGTCTAGGTTGAAGCTGCCTTCCCTCAGCTGTTGCATAACATGAGGTAGAATCTTTCCCACAAACTTTTTAGCCACCTTTTTTCTAGTATTCCATTTAATCAACAACTTCTGTCTTATGGTATCCATCAAATCATCAATGTGCTTGGCCTTCTCTGCCTTTATCTAGTTATTGAAGGACTCAACCAAATTATTGGTTACATAATCCACCTTGGAATCTATGCCAAACTGACTTCTGGTCCATAGCTTCTTGTGATTCTATTGCAGGTACTCATTTCCTTAGGTTTGGCTGCAGCCATGGCCTGGTAGTGTTTTCTCAAACATGTATTTGCTCTAAGAGTAGGCAGATGCCCATAGGTGATCATCAAAAATTTTACCACTGAATCTTTTCTTAAAATTTTGAACTAAATGCCACATGCACTCTCTATGTTCAGCATGTCAAAAGACCTCACTAACACCATGCATTACTGCCTGCCCACAGTCTGTGCAAAATGTCAAACCAGGTGGGGTGCCTATTGCTTCCTTCAACCTCTTCATAAACCAAACCCAGTTTTCATTTGTTTCAGAATCAATGACACCTATTGCTACTGGATATATCTAGTTATGCGCATTAACTGCACAAGCAATGCACAACTATTCCCTAAACTTTCCACACAAGAAAGTGTTATCTACTGCCAAATATGGCCTACAACCTCTAAGGAAGCCATCAACACATGGTTTTAGAGCTAAAAACCTATTAAACCTAATTTTCTTATTAATAGTGTGGTGATCAATCACAACAAATGAACCAGGACATGTTTCATCTAGCTGGGCCTTGAATCTATACATGTTATCAAAGCTTTTATTTCAGGGCCCATACAATTTATCCAATGCAAGATTATTACCATTCTACACCCTCCTGTATGGTATCAAGATTTTGTACTCATCCTTCAGCCTCCTTTGGAGTTAAGTAGCACCAACAGTTGTATCTTCTTTCAACCAGTCAATCACTTGTTCATAGACCCAAAACTGTGTAACCTCTTTACATACGTCAGACCTCCTTTTGCTTTCACAGGTATGGGATGTGGGTTCCTCTTCACCGCAAATGACATAAAAATAAAATACTTATATCTAAAAACAACTGACAGATAAAAAACATATAAATTCGAAACTAACAGATTACCTTAATTAATTCATCATCCTTCATGGTTGAGGCATGAATTCTTCACCTGCAGCCCTCAGTACTCCCATAGCAGTAAACTATGTACCTTCCTGTGTCACTCTTTTCAATGTCATAATGAAACTCATGTGTTAACAGCATGTGAAGCTAAAACCAGCTTAAATGCATACATGTCTCTATACACACTACCTACTGTCATAGGAGGATCCTTCTTGTCATACTCAGTATCAGGCATATGATCAGGCTCATTATCTTTAACAATGTCATCTACATCCTCCATTTCATAATTATTATCATCATTAGACACAGATTCATCATCGCTGTCTGTTTCAAAGTATGTATCTACATCAGATCCTTCATCATCCCTTTGTTTGCTGCAACCTTGACTCTAAGGTTTTGGAGGTGGTGGATGTTGAGGACCAAGGTCTATATACAACCCTTCCTCATCAACACCCACATGCTCATTGGATGGGTTTGGGTTAGCCAGGTATTCATCATCTGCAGTTCACTCTGGGTATGGCTTGGTTGTGCAATGCTAGGACAAGGCAGTGAAGGGGTGAAGGGGTTCTCAACAGTCTGCCAAGAACTGCTAAAATCCCAAGGAGGAATTTCAGGAGGCTCAGTAGTAGGGCTGTGGTAACCAAAAGTCAGGAAGCGGCACTTGGAAGCATTATGTTTTGCAAACATGTCAAACAAATCTTGGTCGGTGCAACCTTGGATGTTCATCTATCTCTCAATGCAGAAGTAAAACAATCTCACAACATCCCCATAATCAGAAGGATACTTATTCTCAACTTTAGCAACCAGATCTACGAAGTTGGTACGATCAGCATCGACGACTTTGTTTAAGCTAAACCACCGAGCACGAGTATGGTGAGCAATTATCTAGATTTATAGGTTGTAGCTACTAGCAGGGCCCATCCTACAGATGAACAATAGTGAGTTCACATACATTTATCTATCTAATATCACACTATATCAACCACGACTACTACACCTAACTGACCACAATCACAAGGACCAAGCAATCGAAGCGGGAAAACCCCCCTAAAAATGGTACTCACCCGTCAGGAAGCTAAGGAGGTCGGTCGCCCACGCGTGCCCCCTTGTTCGCGGCCATGCGTTGCCAATCCGGAGGATCTACGGTCTCTTTCTTTAGGCCTCCTCTTCCTTGCTCCACTACCCCATTCCACGCCGCAAGCATGGGGGATTGGGGGTTCTTTTCTCCGCGCCGCAGCCGCAAGCAGGGCTGGATTGTCTTCTTCTCTCTCCGTCGACGCTGCTAGGGTGTGGGGGAAGAGGACTCGAGTGAGATGAGGAGAGTGAGGGACTAAGGTGGCTGTCAATCGTAGTCAACACGGTCTCCACTGTCTAAGGGCAACATAGATAATTTCACTGGCCGGTCCCATCTGTAAGGTCTACCAAACGGCGAAAAACAAATAGAATAAGGACGGAATAGCTTGTAAGGCAAAAAAAAATAGAGCAGTGGCACCTGTGTGTGGTTAACTTTTTTTAATGGCCCGTGTGTAATTACACACTTTTTTAATGACGCACAGGTAAAAGGGCGATTTGCAAAAATGGGACTCGAAATATTGGTCGTTTGCAGATTTGCTATTGAACCCACATTCATATACACGTACGTAGAACCACTTGTCATCCACCCGTTATCGTAATCAAGAGTCCTTTTTTCGAGTGTTATTTTTGTAATTTTTTTCAGGTAAAAGGCTCTTCTTTCTTCACCCAGTGGAAGAGCAACGGGAGGAAGCTTCCCACAGTCCCGCGCAGCCGCCGCTCCTCCGTCCTCCGCGCCGGGGTCCGGCCCACGCTTCGGCCGCCATCCACGGATTTCCCCACCAGGCCACCACTGGCGCTTGTGCACGTTGATGGCGATGCCGCCCATCAAAGCTGGCCCCACCTCCCTCGCCGGCGATCTCCGTGCCGTTGCTGAGATCCTGCTCCGTCTCCCGTCGCCTGCCGCCCTCGTCCGCGCCGCGCTCGCCTCGAGGCGCTGGCTCCAGATCGCATCCTCCCCCGGGTTCCTCCGCAGGTACCGCTCCCGCCACGCCTCGTCGCCCCTGCTCGGACTCTACGTTCCCAGGGCGCACACCGGGCTTCCTTCATTCCAGCTCGCGGATTCAGTCCGCTCCGACCGCGCCCTCGCCAAATTCGTGCGCGGGGGCGACTTCGGTCTCACCGGTCTCGAGAGCCATCCGGAGTGGCGCCTCCTTGACTGCCACAATGGCCGCCTCCTACTCTCCAGAGGCGAATCACGCGCCGTGTTCGACCCAGCGTCCGCCCGCGAACCTGTTTGGCTTCCGCAGAATAGCCCCCTCCCAGGTACCATTATTTCTGAATGTTTGCTGCAAGGCCATAGCGACGATGTGGCGTCGTTCCGTGTGGTCTCTGTGCAGCAGCGTGGCCATGATCAGCTGTTGCGAGCTGCCGAGTACCGCTCACATACTCGCCAGTGGCATTGCCACCAGTGGGTGAAGGACATTAACAGACCTCAACATGACCAGGCGATGCATGCCGGTCGGTTCATCTTTTGGAGATATGATGACACTTCATCGCTCTTGCTTGACACGGCCACTATGGAATTCTTCATCCTTGGTCTCCCATTTACGTTCTTCCAAGAGTCAATGTATGCCATAGGAGACACTGAGGATGGTATGTGCTGCCTTGTGGGCCTTGTCGGTAGCATTAACAATCTCCATTTGCAAGTGTGGTTGCTAAAGGAGAATGGTGCTGCCAAGATGTGGGAGCCAGAGAGGAAAAGTCTAGTGAGCCAAGTGCTTGGCAGGGATATCCAATTGCGTCAAGTCCATGCAGTAACCAATGGACTAGCTCTTCTATGCTGGGACCAATCCCGCCAGTTTGCCATCAATCTGAAGAAAATGTGTATCGATTCTGAGTTTGAGTGCAGCGCTCTTGGTTATCCTTTGCAAATGCCATGGCCACCTGCTGTGCTGGTTGAAACTACTCATGGTATGTGATCCACACCTTAGACAGATGTTCAACAACAAAAAAGTACGAGCAAAGTGCACTTTTTGGTTACTACTTACACTGACAATTGTGTTGACTTTGCTGCAGAGACCATTAATTATGTTGTGGATCTTGTAACGCAAAACTTTTCGGCAATTGAAGAAATTCAGGTATTTTTGAATTGTACCCAATTTCTATTTCTATCAAAAGATATCCAAGTTTTTTATGTCCCAAGTCCCAACCATATGTGAAAATTGCCTTAAGCATCTTTGTTCAGTCAAATTTAACAGCTGCACTTTATACTCCTGACTCTTGCTATAGTTGTAATTTTGTAATTTTTTTTTTTTTTTTTTGCCACTAAGAGCATCTCCAGTTTCCAAAACCCACTCCCAATCTTGTTTTTTCAACAAGATTGAAAAAAGACCATTCTCCAACAACTCCTTATCTCAACTCCCAATCTTTCTGCACTTGGGAAAATTAACCCAATCGTGCGAGATGGAAGGACGTGGGAAAGAATAAGGAAGGAGTAAGGGCATGGTTCCCAATACAAATGTACAAGAGAGAGAAAGTATAAAAGTGGTTGGGGGTGATTTGGAAGAAGTCCAGGATTCCTGATGTAAAACTGCCTCTATCTTCTAGGAGCGAGATTTTGGAAACGGTTGGAGGAACCCAACAAATACACTCCCAACTTTTTTTTAGCCACTTTGAAAACTCATTGATTCACCAGTTGTTTTTTTGGGAACTATTAGAGATGCTCTAAGATTAATATAGTTGTTGCCACTAAGATTAACATGTTGCTTCAAACTTCTTTTTTTTGCAAAACTTTGCTCTTTTATAATATTACAATTGTTTCTTGTTTTTTTAGACAGAGATGATGGTTGACATCCATTGCAACAAGGTGGCTCACAGAAGCGAGATAGTTCCCAGTAGCAAGCTGGATCATGTTGGTGAGATGATCCACTGTAATCAAATGGACCCCCATGGCCCTGAAATGGATCAAGGTATTGAGATGATTCATGGTAGTGACACGAATGAGTCAGCGACACTGACCAAATCTAGATGTGGCAGTGAGATGGTCTCCAGTGATCATGGTGGTGAGAAGATCCACTGTCACGAAACTGTCATCCAGGGCAGTGAGATTTTTCAAGGTATTGAGACAACTCAAGATAATGGCACTGCTGAGGTGACACCACCAACCACATCAAGATGTGGCAATGACATGGATCACAGCGATGAGATGATCCACTGCAACCAAATGGTTATTTGTGGCAGTGAGATGGTTCAAGGTATTGACGTGACTCATGGTAATTACACTGGTGAGGCAGCACCAACCACATCAAGACATTGCAGCGAAATGGTCCCTGTTAGCAAGAATAATCATGGTGGTTTAATGACCCATTGTAACCAAATGATCATCCATGACAGGGAAATGGTTCAAGGTATTGAGATGACTCTTGGTAAGAACACTGCTGAGGTGACACCTCCAACCATCGCAAAATATCGGAGAAAGAACTCCATCATCTGGAAACATTTCGCTACTGAAACCGATTCTGATGGATGCACACGAGCATGCTGTAAGTATTGCAGGAGGTCCTTTGCCTGCTCCAGAACATCAGGCACTAGCCATCTAAAGAGGCACCTCACCCTAGGTTCATGTCCTGCATTGAAAGGTCAAGTGCCACCTTCAGCAGGAGGGGCACGTCATTGTGGCAGCGGTGCTGCAGAGAAACCTTCTAAGAGGCAATGCACATATGCTGACCCTGCAGATGATGCACTTAATCGGAACTACAATATATCATATCTGGGGAAGATGGACATTCTGACTGAGGTATTTAAGTATTTTACCCAATTTCTGTTTATGTTTAAAACAATGCAGCAGTGTATTTTTCAAACACAAGCAGTAGTAGTCTGCCTCTGCGTCTTTGTTATACCACATCTTGTTTAATTGTATTTTGTACCATTCGACATTTAGTCCTTTCATAAGAAAAAAGTGCACCTTAGTCTCGGTCTAAAACTGTTCACTTTGCAGCCTCTAACTACAAAACAAGGAAACGAATACTCAATATCAAAATGCTTAAAAGTGTTACATGACATGGACGATGTGTCAGATGAGATAAAGCATCTTGCATTTCATGTTCTCAAGGATGCAACAAATCGAGAGATTTTTATGAGCTATGAATCAAGACTTCGTGGTTTATGGTTGAAGAAGGAAGTTAACAAGCTTGGAACATAATTGACTCCTTGTAAGTCTTGCTGTATTTGCACTCTATTTTGCAACTCCTTTTTGTTGTTTGCATTTGTTCAAGCTTGAAAATTTTAGTTTCAAGATTGCATTTTTTGGAGTAATGTGTGATGAGCTTGTTACTAATGTGCTCTGAGCCTTTGATTGTCAGTTAGCACCCTGGCTGCACCATAAATACATTTTTTTCGAAAAACTTATGCACTTATAAACTCATGTCATCTAATCAATGGTGAAGCTATGCTGCTCAGTAATCAGTAGCGATTTTGTTTTGTAGCTCCTACCTTGTGGTTCAGTTGCATTTCTCTCCTATTTAAAAAACAAGTAAGCAATTCACCTCCATCCGTTTGTCACCTTTCCTCTCATGCGCCGACAGATGGGGCCACGTTCCACCTCCCATTCCTCCGCAGAGCCTCCCAGTTTGCCCCTTGGCTCTGCAACACCACCTCCCCTAGTGCCTTCCATGAGTGGTGCCGTTGTGCCGTCCTCCGCACCGCATTCCTGCATTTCCCACTCATCGCCTGCGCCTGTCTGTTCCACTCCCATGTTCCTTCATGTCGCACGTTCTGCTTGCCCCTCCCATCGTCCACCTGTCGCCGCCTGCACGCTCCCAATCACCCATCAGTGCGCGCAACTCCATTAGCCCTCGGCTTTAGGATCGAGCGCGACATCAGACCTGATGAACCTTGTGACCCTGTCGTGGAAGACCAGGAGTCCAGGACGCACCGGCCACCAAGGCTAATGTTGGCACCTGGCTAAGACAATTCCAGCAATGCCCTGTCAGCTTATCAGTGTTAGAAATTATCTCAGGTTTGGTCAATGGAGACGAAGTCACAAGGGGCCTAACAGCCCTTCTAATGGTCCATGATATGTGGACTCAACAGACTCTTGTTGAGTAATGAGATTTCTTATTCCTTTAGAGCTGACAACTTTTTGGTTAGCTTAAAAATCAGTACGTACGCCTGGCAGCTTTCTGGTTAATGTAAAATAGGTATGCAAGTCTAACATGCCATGTGTGGCTCTCGTTCACCATCTTAATGATTAGAATACAGGAAAGGTCTTATTTTCTGAACACACTCAAAGTAGACAAAAAGATTGTTAACGTACATTTGATGATATATGAACAAAACAGTACCGTGCTATTCCTTTTTTTTTTTTTAACTACTACCGTGCTATTCCTATTGAAAAGTAGTTATTTCATGACGGCATGTTTATCTCTATTTCCCACATCCAGGTGAGAACAGTTTGGATTCTTATATCCTTATTACAAGAACTGGGATTCTGAGTCTTTCTTATTGTGGCAGCACAGCTGCTTATATAAAGTGGAAAATCTGCTTTGCATGGTAATGCATACAACCATCTTGACATACCATCCAGCACAGATGACATGCAAAATAAGAATTTGACATGATATTTGTGCTGGATATAAGAAGTTGACATGGAGGCAATCTTTGTAATACAGCTATGTACTTTGCTTTGTATTGAACTGAGAAATAGGTATACTAGCTCTATTGATTGTGTATCTTCTGATTGGAGCTTTTGCTTCAGTACTGCTGCCAACGTAGGTGACATGCAAAATGTATCTGATGCTAGCAAACCTATATGATACCTCTTTATAACTGTGAGATATTTGTTACTTCCTAATTTTACATGTCATTCTTTCGGAACAAGGCTTTATGATTCAGGTACCATTAATTGATTGATTTAAGGATTTTTATGGCTAGCCTATTGTATTTTAGAGTTGTACTTTGGCACATTTCCAGTTATGTTCACCTGGGTGGCATGAATTGGCTATTCAAGAACAAAATGTGAGGAAGCTGCCAACATGAATTAGAACAAATTTTCTTTTAAGATATATATGCCAAATTGAGATTTATCGCACTTGAAAGTTGAATAGGGAAAGAATAGAAGCTATGCTCTACTGCAAAGTGATTTTTGGCACACTCTATTTTACAGAATCCACGTTAACACTTATGTGTCTTTGAAGCATAATAAGGGTGATGGATTTGTGATCCTTTGAGAACAAATTTTCCTTTCAACCTGCAAGTAGCATTCATAGCTATGACTGGAAATAAATTAGTTTGATATAATTTATGATGCCTGTAGCAATGCCGGGCCATTAGCTAGTATATGAAAGAATGGTATATCTCCTCTCATGAACTGTTGTAATTCAGTTGATATAACACTTCAACACCTGACTGATTGACGGTTCATACTTTGGCATCTCGTCCACAAATACCAGTTTCTTACTTTCTTATTTCTGCAGACCGTTGTGTAATCTGAGTACACAAGACAAGTTCAAGCAAAAAAAGCATACAGCCATGATTTTCTTTCTTTCAATGCCATACTATTCAGCCTTCTTTAACTAAGCAAACATAATACAAAGGATATAAAAGGATAGTTTTCTGAATGGCAAGGCCCTTCTAAGAATTGGAACTTTATTTTTGTGGCTGGAAGAAGTTCATGTCGATTCTGTTGTTTTGCCCTCTGTTTTTTGTGCGCAACATTCAGCTTGAATATTTCAGTTCCGAGACCTTACTGTTTGTGACTCCATTGCTGGTTGCGCCCTGGAAATATTTTTTTACAGGACTCGTGCACTTATGAACACAAAAGGTGGTATTTTGTGATAACCCTGTCACGTGGTATTTTCTTAACCCTGTGGTTGAGATTTCTTGATGAAATATCTCTAGGAAGGTTTTTCCCTTTTTTAACAGCATTTGGTGTGCTAACAACTTGGAAGCCACCACAGGAACTTCTTCAACATTCCTCTTAAATCCATTGAAACAGCTCCAGGGAAGCTTAATCTTATGTAGAATATACTTCTCCCACATGATCTGGCCATGACACACTGGCCTCAACTGTGTCAACGAGTGCTGCAAAAGTGAAATCAAACGTGCTCCGCTTACTCGAGCAACGGCTCTGAATCATGAAAGGGACAACTTTCTTTTCTCCGAGGAACTACGAACCAACCCTATATCCTTGGAGGCTCTATTTTCCCTTTAACTCTCAGCTGAACTTCGAATGTAACCGGATCAATAAATACAACTGCGCTTGATGGGCCTGTCAACAGCAGACATGAATCCTGCAGGCGGTCATCATTTTTCTGGAAAACGTAATGAAAACATGGGGCACCTGGAAACGGGTATGAACTCAGGAATGTCGGGACATTAAAAGACGAAAAATGGCAGAACGAAAGCGTGTTGATATTGTTTGCGAATTTGCAGATAAACTTAATTTTACGGGTTATCCATGTAACCTACAAAATTTAAGCCTATTTAAAGGTTCGTGAACAAACCTGTTTGCATCTCTAACTAATCTAGACCGGAAACATAACACAATTCGTACAGTAGTAATTAATTAACCTATTATTTGTAAGAAACAACCCTAACCCACGGCTTGGATACAAACTGCAGCCTCATGGAAATTGTTGCCGCCTGCCAGCAGGAAGGCTATGAAAATATTTGTAGGTAGACGAGAAATAAGTGAAGTGAATTTTTTTTTCGGGGAGAAGTAAAACACCATAGCCCACAAGGTAATGTAAAGCACCAAAACCCTCTCGCAGTCTCATGAATCCTTGCCCGAGCCCATTGGAGATGGAGGGAGAACTGAGTTCGGATCTTTAGAGGTTGGTGGTGAATAGCCCACAAACTGCAAATTAGCTGAAAGCTCGGTGGCGACCCCATCGTGAGAAGCTTGGAGTTCAACTCCCCACCTCGCATGCGCAAAAAATCCCCTGGTCAAGGTTTTTTTTCTAGAGGATACAGAGGAAGGATGAGAAAAATTGAAGCTGTATTTGTGCCTCTGTCCTAGCAAATTCGATGGAGGCAGATAACACGCGTTTGGGAAACGAGCAACCTGTCATCCTCCTACACGCGACACACCCTCCCATCGTATTCCTCCTTGCCGACGCCATCTGCAAGGATCAAGATGCCCAAGAGGAGAGTGAATTAGACTAATTCTAAATTTTTTTCAATAATTAAGCCCTACACTTAGCCCATTAAATCCCTTGTGCCTAGAAGTGTTTCTATTGTTCTACCGCACAAAAGTTTTACACCCTAGGTTCCAATCTTATTCTAGCATGTCAATTCTAAGAATGTAAAGACATAAATTGAATTGCTCAAATGTAAATACTCAAAGTAAAGAGAAGGAGAGGAACGCGGCGATATTTTTCCGAGGTATCGGAGAGTCGTCACTCCCCACTAGTCCTCGTTGGAGCACCCGCATAAGGGTGTAGCTCCCCCTTGATCCACGCAAGGATCAAGTGCTCTCTACGGGCTGATTCTTTGACACTCCATCGCGATGAATCGTCCACAACCACTCACACCATGACTTGGGTCATCCACAAGCTCCACCGGATGATCACTAAGTTTCCATTCACCATCGAGTCGTCTAGGTGATGACGATCACCAAGAGTAACAAGTACAAACTCTCACTTGACCAAGACAAACCTAATGAGAAAGATGGATGCACACTTGCTACTCCCTATGTACTAATGAGGTCCTTAATCTTAGATTATTAAATCTCAATAACCTCACTAGGCTCTTGCTCTCCCTTGCACTACAAAGGTGTTTTTCAGCTGAACAAATGGGCAAGAGAGCTAAGTTGGATGAGTAGAAGAAGTATATATACTCCCCACTTTAAAATATAACCGTTATTGTCTAACTCAGCAGTTTTCGGCGTGACCGGACGCACCGATCGAAGTGACCGGACATGTCCGGTCAGTAGCCAATGGCTACGTGGCGTTAGCCTGCCAGAGAAGGTTGTTAGAGTGACCTGACGCTGGCCAGCGTTCGGTCAACATCCACTGGACATGTCCGGTCAGGAATTTTGGTCTCTAGACCCTTTATGATGTTGACCTGACGCTGCAAACTCAGCGACCGGTCATTTACTGTTCAACGTCCGATCCTACCTGACAGCGAGGCCCTATTGCTACAGATATGACTAGAGGCGCGTTCGGTCGCTCCTCGGCTTCTGTTGTGCACGCTGATCACTGA